GAAGATAAGTTTATTTTCTATTTTAACATAAAATCAGCATTTTTATAACAACTAAAGGTGACATAGATATTTTAATATGGTATAGTATATAAATGTATGCCTGAGAAACACATAATATTGGCCCTTTAAACTCCTGTAAATTAAAACATTACATGTAAACACGCAGTAAAATTACAGTATATATCAGTTATGTAAAACACATATAAAACACATGCATTTTTGATAAGATACAAGCTAAAGTAAAGCAGACATCCATTGTTTGGCAAAASATTTTATTAGAGCATCTCACTAGGTTTTAACTTTTGCCTCTACAAAATAAGTCATTATTTCACTTATCACTGCATTCCTTGGAACACTAAGAGGTTAAAAACTTTCTTTCAATCAATAATTTTATATAATAACAGAAGATCTTTGCTTGAAAAATAAATACATCTTACAACAATGAAAAAAAAAACAACTAGAACATTTCTTGCAAATATGTCTGGCTGGAAACAGTCAGCATAATTTCCACTCTGTGAAGTTAACCTTTTGAAATGGTTTTTCATTCTTTTCCTTTATTTTAGTCACGGCTTTTATTTTGTGTGAGTCAGCTGGCTTCTGCAGCTCAATAATATTTTGCAGTTTTATAAGTGCTGATTCATTCGTCCTCTGTTAAACGTGAAAAATGTCTGTCATTTCTTAAAACAAATTATTTGACATAGTTTTACAAAGCCAGAATTATTAGCAGCTGAATTAAGATAGAAGACTTTAAAACATCCATTTATCATTGATTTTTTTAATTATTATTTTACCAAGAAAAGAAAAAAAAAAACTACTGAAACAACATCTGAAATAAACATGCAACAAAGAAAGCTTGTCTACATTCAACTCATTGATTGCACCAAGAGATGTTTTGCACCCTTTTCCCTTTATGTGACCTGAAGAAGAGCTGAGTGCACAAAATAAGTCCGGGCRGTCCTATTATTWTTTTTTATTTGCATTTTTATCACATGGTTACCACTCCTGAAATAGAGGCAGCAGAGTTGCTTGTTTTTATTGCAATGAGCACAGTGAAAACAACTCTTTAGGAGTTTATTACTTCTCCAGGAAAACAAGACCTTTTTACCTTGAGAAAAAGAAGACTCATCGCCCTCTTCCACCTTTTTGTTTTTAAGTTGCGGTGAGAAGTCTGTGCTCAATGTAAACATGTTTCCCTCTCGGAGCGCCCATCTAAACTCAGCATACAGTGTATATTTAAAGTTGGGGTGGACTCTGGGTGTGTGTTTGCATGTCTCAGAGCCTCGGACTTGTCAGACTGGCTCCTTTCGTGCCGTTTCCACCCCTCGCTGATTCATGGGGGATGACAGTGAATATACACTTGCTCAAGCAGCTACGAGCGCGTCCAACACACTTCCCTTATTTTCCTGATGGGAGGATACGCACTGTAATACCCGACAAAGCCCTATTCAACAACCTAAGCTGTTACAAGAACCTTGAGACGACGTGGTGAAAACAAATGGTTGAACAGGAGCAGAGCAGGTGGTTGTTAGGGAGRCTTTTAGCTGTGGGGAACAACAGCTGAAATGAACCGTGAGTTTAATACCTGAATTTAACAGCATTTAAGAAGAAATTGCTTTGACCCCCCCCCCCCTCTCTGTTCACTGTTGCCATAGGAACAGGGATGGGATCTCTGTAGTGGAGTCTGTGAAAGCCCTTCAGTGGATGAAAGATCTGGCAGCTGAGCCACAGATCTAAAGTGGAACATGGTTCCTGAACATCTACTCAGCCTCRGGGAACTTCCAACTGCAAGTGTTGTGTATAAATAATGAAATGAAYTAYAAACCTGTTGGGTGAGGAAAAAGTGATGCAGAATACATACGGCGATGGTTTGGTTTGATCACCTAATACAGGGCTATTCAACTGGTGGCCCGCAGGCCACATCCGGCCCGCGAGTGACCAAAGTTCGGCCTGCCAATTGRTTCATTCATCTCTTAAGCCCAAACCCTCGGTTTTCTACTTTAATTACTCTAAGTTTTTTTAGTTAAACATAGACATGTTTGGTATCTACAGAAACGTCAGAATCTTGGCTAGAAGCTAGTAAAAAACATTTCTATAAACACTCAAGACAGTTAAAACTACAAGCAGTTGACGATAAAATGATGGAAGTAAAAATAAAATTGRTTTAAAAATTTGGCAAGTCAGAGATGTCAAAATAGTTGTGTCAAAYAGGAGGCATAATGTSTTCTTTTTGTTTTTGATAATGTTTTATTATCACTACTTTTATAGGGTTCTGTATGTTGTATTCATGATTAAATGCAGCAAAATAAGCTAATTCTAAGGTAACATATCTTTGTAATACTTGATTTATTTACATAATGACTTTAATTGCTGGATGTTCAGCCCCTCAGCTGTTGACCTGCAGTAACTGTGGCCCCAGAGCAGTTTAGTTGAATAGCCCTGACCTAGTACGTATCTGAAACTGCAGCATGTTGCAACACAAAAATGTTTTTTTTGCTTTAATATCTTATATGTCATATCACAAAACATGCACGTAGTTCTCAGTATGCACTTCACAAAAAGGTGAGCRAAAAGTGGAAGTCAAAAAAATAAAAAATAAACACARCCTTTATGCAGATCTCTCTTATCGAACGTTGGTTTTGTATTGTCAGAGTGTGACTCGCAGCGATGCTTAAAATAGGATGATACATTACAAACCTTCACGCAGCCTGCCTTTCACTGCTGTCTCATGCTGGTCACGCAGCGTCACACAGACAGTAAACCTGTTACTGGCAGGAGGTCAAAGCCGTGGCGTGTTTAAGCAGTTTATGCCCCCCGGTCTGATAGAGATAAGCAGATGAGCTGTTTTGACGGATTTGWTGTGGAAGGGCAAGCAAAGCAGATGAAAAAACTTGTAGCGAACTGGTAGGGATTGTGTTGGCAGAAAGGTGGGGTCAGGCTGCAGCGCACATGGGGTTTCTGTGTTGGGACTGTGGTCGAAGATGAGATGCGGTGCCACGTGTGTGTGGTGAAGTGGAAACGAGCTCTGTGCCAGCCCACGCATGTCTGTCAGTATGGACTGCCTTGTGTGACCTCAGAACCRTAGGTACAGTCTTTAAAACATGTGGCTGACAGACTGTGTGTTACACAACACAACACAAAGAGGAGCCGTGGCTCRTCTCCACCGTGCTGTCACATTAGGCAGATTGTGCTGCTTCAGTGACGGCAGCGTCTCCCTGGGAGGAGAGAAACTCTGGAGTGTGATCTCGTGGTGGGCCCCCCTCTGTTATGGCTATCCTGACACCCCCACCTCTCACTCCACTTCTCCTGAAAAATGAAATCTCTGCCGAGGAGCTAATGACTTATTACTCTGCCAATTCATCTCGCTGCTCTGTGGAAACACGGAGAAGCCAGCTGAGCTTTAGAGCCAACAAGAAGAGTGTCTTTCCCAGAACTGTGGCTCTTTATTATGCTGCTGTTTAATGAGGAGTTGGCACAGTAATGAACAGACCTCACAATGGCAGCAACTGGGAGTGATATGGGAGAAAGAAGCTGTGGGGTGGGGGTGGGGGTGSGTGGGGAGTCAGAGAAAGAGGTAGATCAATATCACACTGAAGGTCGGCCCTCAGRTTCTAAAATTTCTGTATTTTTTTGGGTTTATTTTTGTTATTTTGTTCTTTTGTTGCACTGCCTGCATCTGTTAAAGCCTTGCTCTCTCTCTCCCCCCCTCAGGTCCTTCGGACTCATGTGATGGTGCGGGTTGGAGGGGGCTGGGACACACTCGAGCACTACTTGGACAAGCATGATCCTTGTCGTTGTGCTGCTTTTGGTGAGGTCACTTCCTGTTCTCTTCTCTATTAGGCCTAAAAAAGAAATGTTTATTTTTTTCTTTTTAACTTGCATAATTTATGATACATTTAAGGCTGTAAAAGAATGATTCATACGTGATGTAACATGTTGGGCAGACACTGCTAAAATCTGCTGTGCTGGATTATTGTAATTGTTGCAATAACATACTGAATGAAAAGTTCAACTTTTGACAGCGTGTGTAAAATTGTTACATTTTTAACTGAGTGGACAAATTTGATATCATACAACCACAAGTAGTTTGTGTCGCACATATCTTAAMATTACTTCTTGCCAAAGCTAGTTTAGGTGCAGAAAAGAACGCAAGAGTATAATTAAAATGTATTTTCCGAACACTGTTTTACAAATACACAGAGCCTCATACCATTCTTTCAGTCCATGCCCTCAGACATGTCTGCTTACAAACTTTTTAATATTTTGGAAGTTAAGTATGTATGAAGTTGAGAAGAGAATACGTTTTTGGAAAAACAATTTTTTTGCACTAAAAAAAACATTTTATGTGAAGTTCTAGTTTTTTGTCACAAGTTTGTTTAAACTGTTTTAATATGATTGTTTACACACAGTGATCTGTATCACACTGACACATATTCATCATTTTGTTGGATCAACCATCCTAAAACAAACTCCTCTGAAGAGTCAGAAAATGAGTGTACAACTGTTTGTAATCTACACTGGTGGTATATTTTAACAACAAGAAAGCACACTGAAGATCATAATCTGTTGTTAAAACTGGCTTATTTTGTTCCCCAAACCCATCTTGTTAAGCTCATTAAGCAGCTGTGACTGACGTGTTTAACATGATTMATCTTTCAGCAGTATTTATCATCTGCTGCTGAGATCTTGACATGCTGTGGGGAATTTCCTGACCACTAAATGTCTTCAGTTGTTGCTGATTGAACAGGCTCTTTGCCAATGTTGGTTAAAGTCGGACTGAACCACTCATTATAAATSTGTTTCCGCAGCTCACCGATACCACCAGGCCAAAGCCAGTGGCCAAGGTCAGGGAGCCCAGAGCAAGTCCTCCAGCGCCCATTCCTCTCGCTCCACCAGCCCGGGTCCACATTGGAGAAACGAGGGCATCGCGCCTTACAAAACTCCTGACAGGCGCTCCCTGGAGCCGCAGAGTGCGTCCTCCTCCTCCTCCTCCTCCTCCACGCGACCAGCTCAGACTCAGAACTCCTCTGCCCATGCAGAGGTGGACTCTGGAGCCGCGCGTTCGCTGCTCCCGAAGCCCCCACGAGACCGCTCCGAGCAACGCCACTTTAATCCTCTCAGGTAAGGGTGTGTGTGTCCCTGTGCAAGTGTGCAGTTAAGTGTTAAACTTGTGGTTGTCTCACGGGGCGTGCTCGTTTTTTGCTTCTCGCTGTGCGATGCCCACAGATGGAGAAGCAGACATGGCACTCACACTAAGTGGGACACTAACACAACACAAACATACCAGAGAGCCACAGATTAGACCAGAACAGATTTATCTAATCTCAGGTGACATTGCCTTGATAAATCTAACTCACACAACCACCTAAACAGCACCTCCTAGTGGCCAGAAGGTGGGAATTCATTTGTATTTTTAACAACAGTTCTTACCTTTTTCCTCTTCTAAACTCTTTGTTATTTTTATATAGTACCTAACTACCATAGAGGGACTATATGGATGCTCTCAAGATTTTCTCTTGTTATCATTGTAAATTGATAATGAAGCCAGTTTAAAGTAGTTTGCGTTGAATATAAGCATGAATGTGGCTCATTTCTGTTAAGTGACAGCTCAGACCAGACAAAAAGGCAACATCTCGTTCAGATTAACTAACTGAAGTGACATCCCATTTAACATGGGCCTGAATAGGTGAAGACTAATCTCACACCCTTTCCTGGACAGCTGTCTGCAGCTGATTGGTGAACGAAACAGGTCAACAGGTGAGCTACACAGACTGTTTTACAAGWGACAAACTAAAAGTGGAACAAAAACAAACCTGCATCTCTCGCACCCATAATTCAACACAAAAGACTGAAGTTTTGTGCCATCCTAAAGTAAAAGTTTCCATTTCAGTTTCATTCAGTTTTTTTTTGTCTAAACAGTTTAAAATTAGTTTTATTATTCTTGTATTGAATATACACTATATTTTTGTAATTGCGAAGTAATAAAAGCCTCTGACTATCGATTATTATATGTATGGATTAACTCTCCAATATGTGAGGTGTGAGCTGCAGTTAAACCTGATGGTCCTGGTGCTGTGTGACAGTAGAGTGGTGTTTGGTTGAGAGAGAGCTGTGATGTGTGTTAGAAAATCTTTGAGACCACTAATCCTGCCCCCACTTGCTCTCATCTTCTCTGTAATCCCCCTGGTTGTCTCTGCTCGTTGTTACAAGACACATATGAGCCTTAGGTCAGAAAAACTGTTTATTTACAAATTGAAAATACTCACAAATCCCCAGTTTTGCTTAATAAATGTCATATTGTTTTATGAATTAGGATATTTTGGGGAGGGGTTCTCATAACTGCCTGCTGCCWCTTTCTTCACCTATGTAGTGGACTGGGTTCCAATTGAAATGTACAACCCCTGGCAAAAAGTATGGAATCACCAGTCTTGGATGAGCATGCATTCAGACATTTCATTCTGTAAAACAAACTCAGATCAAAAACATGATACAATAAGAAAGTCATTTTAAAGTGCAACTTGTTGGCTTTCAGGAACACTCWAAGAAATGAAGAGAAAACATTGTGGAAGTCAGTGAATGTTACTTTTATTGACCAAGCACAGGAAAAAAAATATGGAATCACTCAATTCTGAGTAAAAAAGAATGGAATCATGAAAAACAGATAAACAAAAGACCATTCAAAATACATCACTAGTATTTAGTTGCACCACCTTTGGCTTTTATAACAGCTTGCAGTCTCTGAGGCATGGACTTGATGAGTGACAAACAGTATTCTTCATCAATTTGGTGCCAACTCTCTTTGATAGCAGTTGCCAGATCATTTTCCACCACAGGTTTTCAATTGGGTTGAGATCTGGACTTTTTGCAGGCCATGACATCGACTGAATGTGTCTTTCTCCAAGGAATGCCTTCACTGTTTTTGCCCTATGGCACGATGCATTGTCATCTTGGAAAATTATTTCATCACCTCCAAACATCTGTTCAACTGAAGGGATGAGAAAACTGTCCAAAATGTCAATGTAAACTTGTGCATCGATAGAAGAATTAACCACAGTCACCTCCCCAGTGCCTTTACCTGACATGCAGCCCCATATCATCAAGGWCTGTGGAMATTTGGTTGTTTTCTTCAGGCAGTCCTCTTCATAAATCTCACTGGAACGACACCAAATAAAAGTTCCAGCATCATCACCTTGTCCAATGCAGATTCTTGACTCATCACTGAATATAACTTTCATCCAGTCATCCACAGTCCATGATTGCCTCTCCTTAGCCCATTGCAGTCTTGTTCTTTTTTGTTTAGGTGTCAATGATGGTTTTCTTTTAGCTTTACTGTATTGAAATCCTATTTCCTTTAGGCCATTTCTTAYGGTTCGGTCACATACATTGGCTCCAGCTTCCTCCCATTTATGTGTCATCTGTTTTTAGTTGTACTCTTTCGGTTTTCAAGACAAATGGCCTTAAGTTGTTTGTCTTGATGCTTTGATGTCTTTCTTGGTCTACCAGTACACTTGGCTTTAACAACCATTCCATTCTGTTTGTATTTGGTCCATATCTTGGATATAGCTGACTGTGAACAGCCCACATCTTTAGCAACCATGCGTGAAGAGTTACCTTCTTCAAGAAGTTTCACAATCCCCTCTTTTGTTTCAAGAGACATTTCTCTTGTTGGAGCCATGGTTCTTGCCACTCCACTTTGTCCAGCAGCCCTGAACTGCAGGTGTTTTTAACTGCAGACTAAGGAGCAGATCTAATCTGAGGCAGGTGTCCATTTAGGGAAAGGAAATTGACTGGGTGCGTCCTTATTTTCTACCTCCAATTTGAGTGATTCCATACTTTTTTCCTCAGAATTGAGTGATTCCATACTTTTTTCCTCAGAATTGAGTGATTCCATACTTTTTTCCTCAGAATTGAGTGATTCCATACTTTTTTCCCTGTGCTTGGTCAATAAAAATAACATTCACTGACTCACACAATGTTTTCTCTTCATTTCTTTGAGTGTTCCTGAAAGCCAACAAGTTGCACTTTGGAATGACCTTATTATTGTATCATGTTTTTGATCTGTTTGTTTTACAGAATGAAATGTCTGAATGAGTGCTCATCCAAGACTGGTGATTCCATACTTTTTGCCAGGGGTTGTATAAGCTGTATAAGTTAGTATTGTTGATATAGTTATCAATGACTGCTTTCTGTTTACAATGCAGGAATAAAGAGACAAAGAGGCAGATAACAAGACGTCTTTCTGGAGACAGTGACTCTTCTACAGCCTCCTCCAAAGGAGGAGGAGGAGGAGGAGGAGGAGGAAAGCGCTCAGTTGGCAGTTCCTCTTGGCACTCGGGTGAAGAGGTAGTGCTACTAGTCAATCGCAAGGAAGGAAGGCACATGATTGAGAGGTCAGGTGCAGGAAATCAGACTCCATCCCAGAGACCTTCAGTGCCTCGTGCCCGCAGCAAATCACAGGAACGGCCATCGTTTGCTCCAACTCTTAAACCAAACCCAMCACAGGGGTCTTCTGATGGAACACCTACGTCTCGCCCAGACAGGGGGCGCTCCCTAGGAAACGATGTCCACAGAAGGCTCCATCCTCCTCGTTCCCACAGCCAAACTATGCTAACCAGCCGTACTTACTCAAGTGATTCCATCACTGGACACGCTTCCTCCTCTAGAGATGTACAGCCGCCGTCATCAGAAAGACGAGAGAACCTGGTGCCTAAACAGGTGCCCCCGCCCTCTCCGAGAGGTGGGGTTGGACTCACAAAGAGGCAGTCATCTTCATGCTCTAACTCCCCTATTAAAGGAATCCAGAGCAACAACAGCAGCCCCAACAAGAGAACTATAACTACTCCCAGACCTCCAGCCCCTCGATCACCATCTATAGGGAGAGGCAGACAGCTGCCACCTGTCACCACTGGAGGGCGTCGCTCAACACAGCCGTCTCCTCGCAGCACTTCTAACTACGCCACCCGCTCCCCTCAGATCTCACAGGCTCCCCGCTCTGCTGGACGCGGCCAACCTAAAAACAGCTCTGGTCTGAAGCGTCAGGAGTCCAACGAAGAAGATCTTGGTTTTGAATACCAGACGCTGCCACCGTTAGACCCTCAGAAAGAACAGGACTTGTACCGCAGCTTTGAGGCTGAGTTTCTGGCCAATACCCAGCAGGTTAAAGAAAATTTAATTGGAAAGGCTCCAGGAGGAGCAACCCTGCAGGTAAGCGGAGTTCATCGTGTCCCTGCACTCACTGAGCCGAATGTCTGTGACTCCTCCTCCATAAATGTGGGTGCGAGGACTGGAACTCTGCCTCACCTCAAGGAATCCAAGAGAATCGACCTCCGTCACTTGCCACAGGAGGATCCTTTAAATATACTTTCTGGTCAAAATCTTAGAGGCTCTCATGAACATTGGGGGGAGCGGAAAGGGGGTCTTAAAAAGCTTCCAGCCATTTCAGGCTCAACAGAGGAGAAGGGACATCCTCCTTCTCTGTCTAGGGAAACAGACAGGCTAATGAATCACATTCCCTCCCAATCTGCTTCCAACTGTAGGAATATGAATGGAGAACTTGGAAGTTGTACTCCTTCAGGGGGGCTCACAGGTCAACAGAGTCAGCTCGACTCAATGACTGAACACTTGCCACTAACAAACCACCTTCCAAACCCAACYTATGTCCTAGAAAATAATGATGACCTTCTGCCTCCAGAAGGTCAGTTACTTGTACCTCTTTCGCCCTCTGAGGACTGCTCCTTCCAGGATTCCTCGAGCGAAAACTCTTCCACGTGTTTCAGCTTGAGCGAGTCGCGCTCAGACTCCTCCCCACCATCTTTGCCCGTGACCAACAGGGAAAACGGGCAAAAGAACGCAAACGACGTAGACCCAGTCTCTAAGCACAAACTCGGAAGCTTCAGGCCTCGCACTGACAACAGACCACAAAACGCCCCCTCACGCATCCCCACGCCATTCAGCTACAAAGACATGCACTCTCATGAAACTCTCTCACCCTGCAACACACCACCGCTGTCTCCTAAGTGCTCCCACCCATGCAAGAGCTTGCAGCAGGCCTTCAGCGACGCCCCAGACAACAAGGATTGCTCGTACACTGCACAGAGTAGCCTGGACACTGAAGCTGTAGCACAAAACTGATGGAAGCAGCTGTTTGTTGTCATAAAGTTTGACTACTGTGTAAAAAAAAAGTCTTAAGTTTGGGCTGAAAACTGTGTGGATTGGACGTCAAATACACCCTTTTAATTTAGCTTTTTTTTTCTTGAATGACACTAGGGGTTCACATTGCTTTTTTTGCACTCAGGCCAAAATATTTATTACCAAAGGTATGATTTTATGTTTAATATAATTTTAATATATATATTGGAAGGTGGGGGTATGTTTCTAAACACATGGTTAATAAGACAGTTCTGAAACTCTCACAGTTGACTTTCAGATATAGAGAGCATGTATGCGTCTATGTGCTCTACTATGGTAAAGTGCTCAATGTTTGAAGCTTCATCTTTATAAACAGCTCAAACACTAACTATAGTCAAGTAGAACGGTTCTCCTAGTTTGTTATAACCTCTCTGTTTACYCTGATGGTCAAAATACTGGTATCGTAATTAGGATTCTCAACATTACTGGTCACCATGTGTGATTTGCTATATTCACATTATACAGTAGATAAAAGTAGCTCCTTCATTCCTCAGAACTTATAAATCATACAACCAATTTCTTTACAACTGTACAATGTTRTTCCTGTACTGTGTCAGCTTTTTGCTATCAGCCGGTATCGTCATTGTTCATATTTGTTATTTAATATTATTTTGTTTTAAGATTATTTTGAGCAGTAAAACACTTTAATTTACATTTTAAAGTGAATTTAGTTTGAAAAATCGAAAGGGTGTTGAGGTTTGTGTAACTTTTGTGTCATTGTCACTGAAACTGAAYCGTTCGGAGCTCCTCCTCTGACCAAACTGCACCCTGGAGTTCAGTGTTTATGTACAAGCAGCACGAGTCAAACGCTGAAGAGATTGAATGTGTAAATACACGCCGATGTGCTCCGTGAAAAGTGGGTGTTTTTGTAAATACAGGATGTGGATACAGTTTTAATGTACATATTTGCCGTTTTACCATCTGTGCTGCCTTAGCTATGCAATATTGGTGTTGGAAAAGCCTTGACAATTCCCTTTTGCCTTAAAGCGTTTGTCACAGAAGAGATTTTGAATGTTTTTTTTTGCTTCAATTTGGTGACAGTACATTAGAATTATTTACTGTTTATTGTCCTAAAGCTGAAGGGATTGAGAGTGAATAATGACAAAAAAAAAAGAATATTGCCTATTTTAATCATACACTAAACTTGATAGCTGTTTTAAATACAATAAATGACACATCTAATGGTGACATCTAGTGGCTAAGACGTTTTACTGTAAATTTATTTTGTTTTTTACTCATTCTGTTCCTTTTACTGCACATGTTCAGACTGACGTGCTGATGCTGATTAGTGCCGATAATAATGGAACAATTGTTAGATGGTTGAAGACGAACGGTAATTTGAACGTGCATATGTGGAGGAAAAAAGTGCATGAATAATAGATACTGGAACGGATWACAAGGCTGTCTGGTGAAGTTCTTATTTTCACCAGGAGAGACTCCAATTTAAAGAGACGACAGTCCTGTTTTAGATATCTGACAGTTTTAGACTTTGTAAAAAATGTATTTGAAAGTAAAAAGTAAAGGTTTTGGTGTCAGTGCCCTGCAGAAACGTCCAAAACATCCTGCTTTTTGTTTCACAACAAAAGCAAGGGAAMTAAATGTTTTTGCATGACTCTATCAGTGTATTGGTTGAAAAGAAAGTATAAACAAGTATGTATATACGGTGTGGAAATATGTACAGTCTTGACGTAAAGAAAGGATGGATGTTGGTCTAATTTATTTATTTATGAAATCAGCTCTCAGCTGGCTCAGGTGACATCTGTGTCCAAAGTACTGTAAGTGAATAAGTATTTAGTGGAATCCATCAATGTGAGACATTTAAACATCCATCAATTTCCTCATCAACTAAAAAAAATGTGGCTTTTTAAGACAAATTTGATTCTACCCCTCAACTTTCAAAAACGCTCAGAACCAAAATAATTTCTTATCTTGGATTTATCCGTGTGGACAAAAAAAAAAAAACTAAAGGTTCTTAGTTTTAAGTTTTTTATTTGAATTTTGATACACCAGTGGTTTAGATCATCCAGTTACATGAGCGGTGATTTTGAGGAAACATGGAAGAAACTTTTATTCATAAAGATGATCAATTTGAGAGATATGTTGTGCAAATATGGTAATTTGATTAAAGTCTCCATCTTCAGCCTCAACCAGTGAGCTCTGAATGTTTGTGATGTGACACCATTTTCTTCAGTAAGATGTACAGATTGCTTGACATTGTGTATTGTGTGTATGCAATAGCAATACAGCAATGTTTCACTTTTTTAATTCTCAGAAATGCTATCAAATTGTTGTAATAAATTTCTCTCCTGAAGTTTATTAACTGGATTTGTCTGTTTATTATTCTTTACCAYCATGTTGTCCCATTTTAGGGTTAAAAGCAGATTGCATTAGGATATTTGTCAAATTAAATACAATGTAAAAAAAAAGGGGGGTAAAAAAAATCAATTTATAGGATCCCTAAATAAAAATACACGTTTGGTTGTCTCAGATGTTTGTGTCAAATCGTGACAAGAACAAGTTTATTCGCTAAACTTAAAAAAGAGCTTGGAAGCTGCTTTTATTCCCATTGTTGTAAACAGGTCATTTTAWATGAACGTAAGGTGACGTTGCTTGATAGTGGCATTTTGTTGAAAGGCGGAAGTGAAACAAGTGGGCGGAGTCAAAGGCCATCACTGACTGCTCTTTCTACGCCTGTCACGGTAAGGTGTTTTTCTGTGGAGATTTTCTTCTTCTAATTCGCTCTGTGGCTACTTCACTACAACTCCAGAAGGTACGCTAATTCGCTGGGTAAGGTCCGAATTAGGCCGATAGATTAAGAGCTTAACTATCCCGGCAAAGGCTTCTTTAAGCCTCGTCTTAGAAGGTCATGTCTCGGCTGCTGGCTGACGCTGACAGGCGAACCGAAGCAGCAGGCGTACCGCCGCTAGCCTTTAGCAGCTGCTTCATTCATCTACCGTTACTACGGCAAACATGCAGGAATGGGCCAACCAGTTATGCGTGAGTAATGGGTAGAATACTGTCGATAGTTACTTACACTAATTCAGCCAACTTTTTGTTGCCGTAAACTACATATTCGATGTTCTTCATGTTGTATTCCAACACATCCGAAACGCTAGCGTCGTTAGCATGTTGCTAGTGAGTTAGCGAGCTTTTTATTCACTGTGGCTAAATAAATTATGTTTAAGTCAGCCAATGTTAAATGCTCGTGTTGTTAGTTGATACGTATGTAAAGGCGTACGAGTGTTACGTTGTCAGTTGTTATAAGTAATAATTTATCTTTAAAGTYGAGCCGTATAGCTAGCTACTTCGTCAGTGCTAATCCATCGATCATGTGGTTAAATTAAGGTTAGTTGTAGAAGTTAGCTGCTTGTCAGATGCTGTAAGCCACCATAGATCCTGATCAGGAAAAAAAGTAAAATGTAAAGCATTAATATAGGTAGCAAATACATCTGGATTGTTACACACGCATTTAAACGAGTTGTTTAGTTAAAACTACTGTTTTAACAAAAACGTATCTCTTCTTTTTTTTCTTATCAGATTGTTATTGTAAGAGCAAGTTTTGCCTAAAGATTGCTTTAGTCAAGGAAGGATTTATGTCTGACACAAGTTTTAGCTTAACTGAAGTCAATATAAATAAAAGTCCTGTATTTTTATTGATTGTCTTACAGTTTCAAATCAACAGATTACAAAATTTCCTACTACAAACACTTAAACAACAGTGATTAAAATTTATTGTTCCTAAATTCAGCATAAATTATTTTATGTTACTATGAGTTACTATAATGAAATGTCCAATGTGTTATTATCTGAAGGTTTATTAGTTTGGCTATTTTTTGTTAGCGTCTGATTCATTGAGCACAACAATACAACCATCATATTTGCAGGTTGTTGCATATTTGAAGTGTGTAATTGGCGCAAGTAGTTACACGTTGTGCCATTACACTTGAAAACAACTAGAAATAATATGATAAGTGAGCTAGTAATATTAAAGTTTCTGAATAAATCCCAGTTTAGATTTCCATGCAGCGTCAATGTTTTAATGGCAACACTGGGAAAGTTGATGGCTTTTAATCTTAAAAACTATCAAAATTTGTTGTTTTTTATTTTTTACAGGGTTGTAAACAAAACAAACAGGGTTTGTTCAAATGAATATCAAAACGTACAAAAAAAAACAGAAATACTCCATTTCACTAGCACTGCAGTGCAAACACATTCGGTGTTGGCTAAAGTATTTTATTTTATTTAATTGTATTTTTTGGCTCAGTTTTAGCTGATTTGGGCATATCCTTTTAAAAACAACATTTTAAGATCTGGTTTCTCAGCAAAACCCATTGTTTCCCAGTTTTCTGTTATTTGTCCGGGAGAAGACAGGAAATCCTTTTCTTTTCCTTCGCTTGCACTTCTAGTCATTCCTGTTTTTCTGCTGATAATAAAAGTTTCTACTCATGCAACAAAGTTTGCGGTCATCTTTTTATTCTGTTGTTTGCAGGAGAATCGGCAGTTTGGATCCAAGATGACGGACTCCAAGTACTTCACCACTACCAAGAAAGGTCTGATATCTTATTGTTTATGCAGTTATGTCCTACAATGCCAAACATGTATATCTCAGTGAGGGTTTGTAGTTGCTGTATGTATGAGATGAATTTRTTTTCCTGTGTTTTGAGCAAATTATAATGTGGATATTTTTGGGCAACCATTGGGGGGGGGGGNACTTCAGTCAAAATAGAAGAAATCTGTGCTTTTTAAACTAATTATTAAAGAACTAATCATCTTAAAGCTCCTTATTGAGTGCAGACCAAGAAAACTGTTCTTGCCCTTGGCATTTTGAAAGATAAGTATGTTGACATTTACTAGTGAAATTGCTGAGTGCATCAGTCTGCATAATCTTAACATCAGTGTCATGTTCCAAACCTGCAAATACCTGTAATTGTGCAAATCCTTTAAATTGAAGTTGTTCCGAGTTAATTAAGATTTAGGGGTATTTGGGTTTGTTTTTCTTTTGAGAGTTACTTGCGTTTTTTGAGGATTTCCACTGTGCCGTTGACTAACATCTTAAGGGATTTGCAAACTATTTGGTTAGGATTAAACTAAAGTTGAAAATTGCTGTGAACTGACAAACATTTGCTTGGGTTTTAAATAAACAACACAATAATAAGCACTTGGTTGAAATCTGKTTAAAAACATTTCCCATGATGATATTATGCTTTATTCACAACTGACACTCCAAGATCACATTACATAGAGGAAAACTTGACATTGAGTATTTCATGATAAAAGATAACTGTGTGCCTATTCTTCTTTTAGCTGTAAAACTGCACAACAAACTGTCTTCCCTGCTATCATACGTCAGTGTTTTATTTTAACTTCCGGTAACTTGTTTTTACCTCTTGTTGAATAATTTGCACTGAATTGCAGGAACCATCTGCTTTGAGTTTTATGACTGAATGCTCATCGCAGTATAATTCAAGATGATCTTGCAACCAAAATGCTTTTAAATGTACTGAGAAATAAAAGCCTTTTTGACACAAACCAAGAACACGTCTTACTAAATATTTTAAAAGGTGCTTAATGTTTGTTAAATCTCCATCCAGCCCTGCTCTCTGACAACCAAGAAGCATTAAGCACCTTTTTATATTCTATTGGCAATAAATGCTGATATCAGACATTTTTAAGGGGCAGTGAACATGTCCTTTTGCAGCTTAATACTTTATGTATATTTTTAAGATTTCCTTGACTAAAACCTATCTAACCTAATTAGGGATGATGGGCGATTATTTGATCGTGATTATTGATCGAGAAAAATTTCAGTTCGATCACGGTGATCAGCCGTGGGGGGTTCCTACAATGTGTGGACAATTTTCCCAAAAAAAAGCAGCCTTGTGGGGACCAAAGTGAATCTTGGGGACCACTGCCTGGTCCCCATGGGTCCAAATGCAAATTACAGGTGTGGGGTTATGTTCAGGACCAAGATTTAGGTTAGTTTTAGGGTCAGGTGTGAGGTTAATTTTAAAGTATAYGGTCAGGGTTAGGCTATAAAGTCTAAAAAACATGAATGGAAGTCAATGGAAGGTCCCCACRGGGTCAAGAAACAAACGTGTGTGTGTGTGTGTGTGTGTGTGTGTGTGTGTGTGTGTGTGTGTGTGTGTGTGTGTGTGTGTGAAAGAAAAGTGAGCGTTCTCAATAAAGTGGTAAAAGTTCAATGACTGAACTACTGTAAAATTTACATGCTGAGTCAGATGCATGATTGCCTCCTTTCCAGCACCTTCATCTAAAATCCAGAACCGCAGGTCCATAAGGAAATCATTTAGCTAACCCACTCGCAGTGTATTTATTATAAAGTATTTTTGACAGATTCTGGTTATGTCTACATGGCACACATTTCTTTAGAGATTATTTGATCTTTTTATTTTTCCTTCAACATATGCGTCTAGGGGAAATTTTTGAACTCAAAGCAGAGCTAAACAGTGACAAGAAAGAGAAGAAGAAGGAGGCCGTGAAGAAGGTCATAGCATCAATGACGGTGGGCAAAGATGTCAGGTGAGAAACTGGAAATATTGCTAGAACATCGCTAGAACATCGCTCTTCGAGTCTGAAGTTTCATAAGAGTTTGTTCCTCCTGCAGCGCTCTGTTTCCAGATGTGGTGAACTGCATGCAAACAGACAACCTGGAACTGAAAAAGTTGGTCTACCTCTACTTGATGAACTATGCCAAAAGTCAGCCAGACATGGCTATCATGGCTGTTAACACCTTTGTGAAGGTACATTTAAGTTTGTTGTTTTCATATGCAAATAACAATAATAAGTTTATATCCTGTCTTTTAAAGGTGGGTTTTTTAGCTTTTTCTTTTTTTTTTTTTTTAAAGCTTTTTCTGCAGTTTTTAGAAACCGCTGTAAAGGTGTGCTGTTAGTCTGGGGGAAAAGGAAAGTTTAAAATTTTCCATATCTCTGGGTAACGGGAAGTTTCAAATTGTTCAGGTATTAAAATCGAACAAATAAGGGAATAATCTGTAATTTGAACCTGTTTATTCATTCTTTTGTCACTGCAGTGTGAAGTTCTTTGTCATTTTCTTAGTGGGTATCTCTTATTTCAGTGTGATTGTCAAACTAGTGTTCAACAAGCATGTTTCCTTTTTGCTTTTTGTCTTATTTTAAAAGCAGTGACTCCTGTGTGGAAAAGCTTTTATACTCTGTAAGATGGGGACAAAAGCAAATATGAAATAGAATTCAAAAGGTATTTTGAGATGAAATTTATGATTACTGTGATCATCCATCTAGGACTGTGAAGACCCCAACCCTCTCATCCGAGCTCTTGCTGTTCGTACAATGGGCTGTATCCGTGTGGACAAGATCACCGAGTACCTCTGTGAGCCTCTAAGAAAATGTCTGAAGGATGAAGACCCCTATGTGAGGAAGACTGCAGCTGTGTGTGTGGCAAAGCTGCATGACATCAATGCCCAGCTGGTGGAGGACCAAGGCTTCTTGGACACCCTTAAAGATCTCATTTCAGACTCCAACCCCATGGTATGACTCCCTCAGGAAGCTAGAAGCATCTGGATCTTGAGCCAAGCCAGATGTTATACTTTGTTAAACATCTGGTTACAAATTTTGAATTTCACAGTTCTCTTCTAACACGGTTGTTGGTGCTTTTTTTTCGATGAGTTTTAATTTGACTCCTTGTCTTCCTCATTAGGTCGTTGCAAATGCAGTAGCAGCCCTATCTGAAATTGCAGAGTCTCATCCCAACAGTAATCTGATGGACCTAAACCCTCAGACCATTAACAAGTTGCTGACAGCTCTTAATGAATGTACAGAGTGGGGACAGATATTTATTCTTGACTGTCTGGCTAATTACACCCCTCGTGATGACCGTGAGTCTCAGAGGTGAGTCTTCCTTTACCACTTCTAATAAATTTCTCCTTCTGCTTGTCTGTCGGTTTATGTTCCCCTAAGGTTCAATTTAATTTTTTTCTCTCTTACCTTTTTAACATCATTAACACCTGCCAGCATCTGTGAGCGTGTCACCCCGAGGCTCTCCCATGCCAACTCTGCAGTGGTGTTGTCAGCAGTCAAAGTTTTAATGAAGTTCATGGAAATGCTCCCCAAAGATTTGGACTATTACGGCACTCTGCTCAAGAAGCTCGCCCCCCCGCTGGTCACGCTCCTTTCTGCTGAGCCTGAGTTGCAGTACGTGGCACTTAGAAACATCAACCTCATTGTCCAGAGGCGGTGAGTCTGGAATCAAGTTTGCTTGRCAGCTTTTTTTTATTTGTGATGAAGCAAAGGTGCTTTCCTTTATTCCTGTTATACCACTTACTTATTTGTGTTTGTGACATTTAGCCCAGAGATCCTGAAACATGAAATGAAGGTTTTCTTTGTCAAGTACAATGACCCGATTTATGTCAAACTGGAGAAGCTGGACATCATGATTCGTCTTGCATCACAAGCAAACATTGCCCAGGTAACATATTGACATGTAGAATCAGTTATAACCTTAATAAAATAAAAGAAAATAGTTTTGGTAGTAAAGCTCTGTGTTCCACTGTAGGTGCTGGCTGAGTTAAAGGAATATGCCACTGAGGTGGACGTGGACTTTGTGCGTAAAGCTGTGAGGGCCATTGGCCGCTGTGCCATTAAAGTGGAGGTGGGTGTGTTGTTGATTTTCACTTCATACTTAAAGGTAGGGATGTCCCGATACCACTTTTTCACTTCCGATGCAATACCGATATTACAACTTTGAGAATTGTCCGTTACCGATATTGACCCATTACCATAACAGTACAAGTCACACACTTTTACCTATTTTGTARTGTAAAAYCTTRKAAAAGTYTTGATCARGTCAAACAGKGAAAAAGAGTAGGTATGAGAAAAACTGACCCATTTATTTTTAACCAATGGATGACATACATTTTAAACTGAAGAACATTATACAATTTAATATAATAAATTATAATACCCTGAAAAATAAAACAATAAAAAGAAAATGGCCTTTTAAAGTATAAAATAATTCAAAATCACTTTGGTTATTGTTTTACTACCTGTCAGCCTSGTGCTGCTTTGTGGTGGAAAAAACTGAAGGTGGGGACAAAACAAAACCCCACATTATTGTCTGTTCAAAGTTAARAGTCCACAGCTCCAATTTTACTGACTGTAACCAAAACAACATGATCATTGCACTTAMTCTTCACTCAAACAAGTGTGTAAACAGATTAAACATCACTCTAATAACAAGAGCAAAAATAAATAGTAAGAATTAGTCAGTTATTTAAATTGTTAGCTACCTTTCTCACTGCTGCATTTTCTGAGCATCATGTGGAGATCAGCCTCTCGCTCCTGCAGGGAGCAGATTTTATCACTGCTCTCGTCATGTCACACTTATATTCCACAACAAAAGCTGYGCTCTCCTTTCTTCTGTCCATCAAGAGCTAATCCACGGGATGTCAAAACTGAATGCGTGCTGTCCTCGCTTCTGCCAGCTTAGAACCACCGACCGGACCAGAGAGGAGGTTCTGAAACAGCGCGGCTGTGTGCGGTCACTGGACCGAGGCTGAACGAACCGAGCCGAAAAGCAAAGCTGCTTCCAGGGTGGAGAGTAGTTGTCGCTCCGGTTTAAAACGTTCACGGTTCTGTGTTCCCCTCGGAAAACTTGTGCATGACAACTTTGCACTTCGCTTCAACTCTGTTTCTGATGAAAATAGAAAGTTCTGCCGACATTCTTGCTAACTTGTTAGAGCAGCATGTTGTTATGATCACGTGAGCTCTGCATGCTGGATCCAAGCGCTGCTGGATAGAAACACTGGAGCGGAGTCAGTGGACTGCTGGATTGAACTGCTTATATCGGAGCGCTTATATCTGACATTTTTTATACAGGCCGATAAAATCCGATACTCATTTTTTGGTTGATATCGGACCGATATCCGATATCAGTATTGGATCGGGACACCCCTAGTTAAAGGATTTGAAAAATGACAGCTGAAGATTTTTATTTTACAATATCACAAAGCTCAGACAGTTTAGCTCTCTGTATTTAAAAAAAAAAGCATCAAAATCTGTATATTTCTCTAGTTATCTCAAAGCAGGACACAGAGTTTCATAACAAGCAGACATTATTGTCACAAATGGACATATTATCATTATAATAGTAGATGTTCTGGCTCCAAGTAGTTTCCCTCAGGTCATTGTGACAAAAAATATGGATAATCATGACACACCATGGCTCCGTATTACTTCATCAGTATTTTCATTTCAAGCATGATTTGCTGCATATTTTTCCTCACTGATCTACCTGAACTTACTTAAAAAATCTTATTACATTTGATGTTGGGACCTGAGATCCTGTGAGTTTTATTTCACAGTGAATTTAATCGTAAATTAAATGTTTTGACTTTTTTTGCTTTAAAATTAGTTTTCCGTTGTGGCCGACTYGTACTTTAGTGTGAAATATAGAATCTACCCACACTTGTGTATCTGTTTTTATTCCATATAGCTGCCTGTGACAATTTCTCCCCCCCTCCCCCCCTCTGTTTGTTAGCAATCAGCAGAGCGCTGTGTCAGCACACTGCTAGATCTCATACAAACCAAGGTCAATTATGTGGTGCAGGAGGCCATTGTAGTCATCAAGGATATTTTCCGCAAGTACCCTAACAAGTAAGTTCCTCTTACGTATGTGCACACTCATCGACATATTTTCTAAAGACTTGATTATCTAGATTCAGTGGTAAATTTCAAATAGATGAGTACTGGTGGAGGCTGATTTTACTCTTTTTAAATGAACAGTTTAGAAGCTTTATATACATGTCCTGTACCTTGAACCATAGTTTGACAATAAATTTTAAGAGTTGCCACACACTGAAACATTTTAGAGTTATGAAATTCCATAACTCGTTAGTTATTGCATTATTGACCATAAAGAGACTTGTGCAGACATTGTGTAATCCAGAAATGACCTTCACTTTTTTTATTTTATTTTTTTGTCTATTAATTGGCTTGGTTGCTGACTTATAAAACATTCATACAAAAACCAGAAGATTTATTTGTATTAGACATTCTTTTAATGTCTAACCATGAGTGCATATGGTCAAAGGTCAGGCTGATTTGGCTGCAGCGTGACTTCCACTATGAGATGGATTCATGTGCCAGACAGAAAGCTCACCCACACAGCAGTACACTGTCACCCTGGAGTCGTGAGCCTTTTAACAGAGTTGCTTTGCAGAGCTTCTAGCTCGGCATTGTTCACGCCTTGGGCTAAATGAGTCACCGTCTAGTGAAACTTTGCTATTTTCTACCAATTAAACATTTGTGCCTCAGCATATCATGTKGTAAAACCATTATGTAAATGGAATTCGTAATGACATTGGATTTTTTATGCAGATGAGAAGTATTTTAACCACTCTTGAGAGCATCATGCTTTAGCATCTAACATAAAAGGGTCATTGCTTAAGGAGGAGGACATACATTTTGCATTTGCCAGGTTTCCAGAAAACACAACTCCACTGTAATGCTAATGTTGGTCTGTGTTTGCTGTGAAATGCAATCTGTGTTGGAAAGTAGACAGTCATTTGATACCTGGTTTTAAAAGCCTCCCATGTGTGCTGGTTGTTAGTCCATCAGCCTGTATTCCTTTGAGATTTTTTTTTCTATTCACTTGTTAATTTTAGCAATCATAAATTAATTAATTTTAGGACACTTGTAATGAATGTATTTTTTATTTTTTTACTTCATATATTTTCCCCATAATGTCTTGCATTTTAAATAATGTAATTCTGTTTGTGTGTGACTGTTTCCAGGTATGAGAGCGTGATCGCCACTCTTTGTGAGAATCTTGATTCACTGGATGAGCCGGAGGCACGTGCTGCCATGATCTGGATTGTAGGAGAGTACGCTGAGCGCATTGACAATGCTGATGAGTTGCTGGAAAGCTTTTTGGAGGGTTTCCACGATGAAAGCACCCAGGTGTGTTTAGGATTGTGCAGGGTTTGTTGTTATTGATTAAAATAATATTTTACTCCTTGTTGCAACTCGTGCTGGTGGTAGAAAGCAGTTCTTTGGATTTGGAAATGCAGTAACTTGTTATATTTGCTTTGATAAAGTAGCAGATGACATTTCAGAAACCCTACCAAAGCAATGCTAACTGTAACTGTCACAGTAAGTTACTAAAGACAGAAGTACAAAGGAATCTGTGAAGTAAAATGTTTAGTTTTACCTTAACAATGTTCAAGGCAAAGACTATAAAAACAGAATCTCTCTTTATATCTCTCATTAGATACATTGGGTAAAAAAGACAGTCTTTTTACCTGCTGTCATTGCTCACAGTAAGGTGCTTCAGAAAAGATGTTCCTCAGTTCAGTTCAGCCTTTATTAACAACTCAGCTCATCGAAAGAGGCATAGAATTGTTAGACTGCCTCCTCAGTCTATTATGCTGCAGAATAATAGACTGGACTCACTGTCCTTCATGCCCACACCTGGTTATGATGATAGTGATGACACAAGATAGAGTGAGGGTTAATGTGAATTTATAGCATCYGATATAGTCCCCTCAATATCAAGTAAAATCACACATAAAATGGGTCTTCTTCCATGGAGCCCAATATGATTCAGAATGAGCTGGTGCAATCAGAAGGTGACAAATCTTGATCTTCATTTTGAATGAAATGAAATTGTTTCCTGGGCTCTTTTTCTACCATCTGGACCAACCATCTGATCAATCTGGGTTTGTATTTCTTGCGTCCATGTCATGTGAGGTTAATTAAAACTCAGTGAACCTTATACTGTTTAATAATATTGGCAACTCTGGTCACAGGAACATGAAGCTGCTTGGAGATGGTCTTGTTTACCTTTAGAACTGATGTCTTTATCTAGCTTTAGAAAACACCTCGGCAATGTATATTTTTTCCATTTTCCTGCTTAGTAATCTGAGTATTCACAGGCCTGGCTAATAGTTATTATTTTTTTTAAGTTGCCGATATTAGCCTTTTAAACCAGAACAAAGGTACTGGGGAGCTTATGGTAGTGTTTAATGTTTAATAATTTTTCTGAGCACATCAAACAGCTCTTTTGTTTGCTATCTCTATTCCACATTCAGTGTGGTGCACACAATAGCAAACTACCCAGTGGTGCGTTTGTTTCCTTTAATAGGCTGAACTGCTGATGAAATGCTGGAAGGCACCTGTGATACTAATTAAGGTCAAATGTTTAAAACATGACTATAATGCAAAGATAGAAAATAAGCTTATAGTCTGTCTAGACTGGACTGATCTCTTAAAAGGTAACCAGTGAGTTTGTCCACATTCTGATTGTTTATTCTATCCCACACTGAAGCCATGCAAATATACTTTTATCTGAATAACATTTTTATGAGAAATAAAGCATTGTAACAGTGAGGTTACATGGTGAGGCTGTTCGTTCTGTGTGTTTTTATATGAGCTGTTGTAACTAGATGTGTGTTTTCACCCTGACATTTAGGTGCAGTTGCAGTTATTGACTGCAATTGTCAAGTTGTTCCTGAAAAAGCCCACCGAGACCCAGGAGCTGGTGCAGCAGGTTCTAAGCTTGGCCACACAGGTGAGATGGAGGGGGTAAAAAACGAGTTCAGCTCATACATTTTAATTTTTGTGCCATTATCTCTGTCAACACATGGCTGCTTGCAGTMTTACTGCTCTCCATCCTTCTTCTTTTTTTAATAAGTGTAAACTGGCCTCGTTAGATGCAGGTTTTCATAGCGTTTTTATCTTTTTTATTTTTAAATGCTCTTTGGTACTTTTTGTTAATTTTTTTGTAATATGTAACGGGTTAGTGAAAGTTTTCCTCCAAATTTAAGAGAGCAGTTTTTTATGAACATTGTCAGGTTGTCTCATGCATAATCCACATCACTGCACTTCCTTGAGGAAGACTGTTTTGTATCACACTTTGTGTTTAATTTCAGGAACCGAGAAATGAAAGCATGGTAACATTAGCTATTTTATAAATATATTAATGAAATAATCTTTGTCATTCCTTCATGCCTTTCTGCAGGATTCTGATAACCCAGACCTCAGGGACAGAGGCTACATCTACTGGCGTCTGCTCTCTACGGATCCTGTAGCTGCCAAGGAGGTGGTTTTGGCTGAGAAGCCTCTGATTTCTGAGGAGACGGATCTGATTGAGCCGACTCTGCTGGAGGAGCTTATCTGCCACATTGGTACTCTGGCCTCTGTCTACCACAAGCCCCCCAGTGCCTTTGTTGAGGGCAGCCGGGGTGTTCAGCACAAGAGGCTTCCAGGCAGTACTGGATCGTGAGTCATGCACTATTTTTTTTATTTATCTTTTTATTTTATTTTTACCATCTAGGAAGAAGAGTTTATTGACACCCCTTTTTTACTTGGTGACTTTAAAATGTGCAGAGTAGCACTAGTGTGAAATTGCTATTTTTATAGGAGAGTAGTTAATTGTGCAAGCAACTTGCCAATGAGTTTGAATATTAGTAAGTGGATAATCACTACAATTGTATGTTTTTTAATAGTAAATATTAAATAATATACCTCTTTATTGTTATTAACTATTTTTTTCATGTTTTTGTCTTTACTAGTGGAGAGAGTGTTGAGAGCCCAGACACAGGCTCTGCAGCTGGAGTTTCTGATGCTCCACCTGCTGTCATCCCATCCCAAGGAGACCTCCTTGGTGATCTTCTCAATCTTGATTTGACACCCCCTGCCACCACTGGACCACCACCACCGGCCACCTCTGGTTTGCAGATGGGTGCTATGGATCTTCTCGGAGGAGGACTGGACAGCTTGGTATTTTTTTTATGTACCTTTTTCATAAGTTTTCTTTTTGAAAGAAGGTGCCAGGTTCTAAAACACTGTTCTGTTCTATTATTTGCTTTATTTAATGGGTACTTAATTATAACAATCTATCTTTATAATTTGCTTTTCTTTTATCTGCTTTTAAGCTTTTTTTTCATGACCTTGTATGTTCTTTCTTTGTTCAATGCTGCACCTGCAGATGGGAGATGAGTCTGAGCCGGTAACTACAAGGAGAGAGAGAGTACAATAATTTATAAATCATTTAGAGCCACTATCAAAAATTAAATTTGAAGAGCCCATACAGTGCTTGTGTACAAGACAAGTTGAGTGTTATTTTTGAGGTTTAGAATAGCATCAAGCAAGAAGTGCACGCTTGCTCGAGCGAGTCTTGTCATCATGTCTCCTAAAAGCTCTCCTTAACACGCCAGCTGCTGTAACTGGTCAGCTAGCTCAGCCAAAGAGTGTTGTTGATGTAATGATTGGTTAAGTGGAAGCATCGCTATTGCTGTCTACAAGCTGTGTACACTCAGGGAATGTTAAAAGTAGCAACCCACTCAGGCTGCTGTATGCCAGAAAAATCTATATAAAACACAAAAACTAATTGTTTTACATGCATATTTTCCTGTTTACACCTTCTGTCCTGGATTCCAATATAAAAACTAATAGCAATTCATGGAAAAACAAAGTGTCTTCAATCTTTTGCTTTTGCTTTACCACTTAAATTTACATTATGACAAAAAATAATTAGATTATTCCTTTTAAAGTCAAATAAAATCTCTAAACTATGACAATTGTTTTAGATTTTGTACAGATCTGTGCTGAAATGTAGGYGTTTATTTTATTACTTGTACTTATATTTCAAAAGAATCTAAAATATTCTCATTTTGTCTCAAGTTGGTTCAACCACCCCAGCTTGTACTGCAGTTTTTGAAGGAATGCATGTCACCCGCTGCCTTTTAAACTAAAATCGTCTGATGTTGAGAAATGAAGTTATAGCTATTTTAGCCTAATCTTGAAAATAATGTTACAGAAGATCTCAAGCAATATTGAGATCACAAGTAGAGTTATAGCAATTTTTTGTTTTTTATTAAGGTTGACTTTGCCTGGTAAAAACCAGACCCTTGTCCTTCRCTTTGCTTTGTACGAGGGTCTGGACTCTCGGCTATAGAGAAGTGGTTCTTGCTGGAGGCATGGCCTCTGCTGAAGTTTAAAATGATTGTATCGGTTGGCCTCGACGTATGCGTGCCAGCTCCACTGTGAAGAAGGCTAAGCTAAGAAGCTAACCGGAAATCGCGTGCGCTGTAAATAACCCTACTGAGAGGAGAGAAGTACCGAGCCGAACGAGACGACTGTAAATGAGAGCTGCTGCTTTGTCAGACAAATTTAATTTCATTTGGAAGCCTTATCATCACGGACTGGCTTCATTCACTTCCTCCACTGYCATATGCTAAAATAACTAGCAGACACTGTGCAGAAAATCAATGTCATTCAAAACTCCACCTTTTATTTGCTAATTGGCCCAGGTAAAATAAACTACAAGCAGACACTGTGTAGAAAATCAACGTTGTGTTCTCTGACTGGCTTGGACGAAATGCTCCTGAAGAAATCTTTCTCTATGGGAGAAATCCCAGACGGAGCAGTGAAGCRAAACTAGAATTGAGCAGAACTGTGTAGGAAGGCAAGGGCCAGGCTAAGGTTGACTAGCTGTGGCAGTCATCTTGAATTGAGTTGACTCCATATTTTATTCTGTTGAAAATATGATGTAAAGATAAATAATGCTGTACATCTACAAACATGATATAAGCTCAATATGGGTCGGGAAGCACAATATGGGCTCTTTGTTCTCTGCTGTTTAGCCAGTAGTTTTCATTCATCATTCTTCATGTTTTCATCATTTTGACATGCACCCTGCGCATGATATGTCCTCGAGTCCGTTGCTGATCTTGTCCTTGGGCTCTTTGATGTTTCTCATTTTTCAATCAGCCGCCCATTCCTTTGCGGACGGGCACTCCTCAGTCACCTCAGACCCTACAACAGTCCCCATCGCCCCCAGATTACAGCCCCACTGAGGTTGGTCCAGAGGACCGTGCTGGACCAGTAAAAGCCAGCGCCAGCCTAGAACTCAGCTCCTCTTGTTCCCTGTTGTAGCAATGTTTCCTYTCAGTAGTCATACCCAGTAAAAGTTGCTGCTTGTTTGCACTTTGTGTTGCACTGTTTGTTTTTGAACTCTGTGTTTGAGGTGGGATTTTAGGAAATCACATCTATCTTCTGYATCGGCATTAGTTCAGATTTGTTCCTTAGTGTCCCTCAAATCACTTTGTCCTCACCAAACCTATAGACATATTTATTYATAAGCATTTTAATAAAACCTGTTGGAGTTTAATGAATCTTGAATTATCAAAGAGCATAGGAACAGTTAATTTCTTTTTCTTTTTACTCATTCATGATGTGAACCCTGTAGCTGATATTAGTCACAGAAATACACTTCCATGACCCTCACATCCCTCCGTCATCCTCTTCAAACCTTTCAGAAGATTATTTAGTGTTGCAGCTACAACAATTAATTTGTACTTTCTTTGTTCACTTTTCTTTTTGTGTTTCTGTCTCATGTTCAGCTTGGTGGAGACCTTGGAGGAAGTTCAGCTGTGAGTCATTTTTTCTTGACATTCTTTAGATTTGTATTGCTTGATTACAGCATCACATTGAATGTGTCATTTGTTGCATTGTGATTTGCAGATGGGGGCTGGTTTTGGTGCTGCTCCAGCTGCAATGCCGGCCCCTGTTAGTGGTGGCCTGGATGACCTGTTTGATCTCGGAGGTGGAGTTGGTATGCCAATGGGAGCCTTTAGCCCCCCCAAAATTGTGAGTTAATACACTGGAATAAGCCTTGGAGCTTTGTGTCATCATGGATCATTTTTAAATGAGTGATCTTCTGTCTGCTCAGGTTTGGCTGCCAGCCATGAAGGGCAAGGGGCTTGAAATTTCAGGCACTTTTGCTCGCCGTGCTGGGGTCTTCCAAATGGAGTTGACCCTCACTAATAAAGCAATGAGTGTCATGACTGATTTTGCCATTCAGTTCAACAGAAACAGGTGCAAACCACTTCTATATAACTGTGGTTCACAGTTTATCTTTTAAGAAACAAAATTTATGACCATTTTTTTCCGTCCTTGTCTCTTTTTAGCTTTGGTATTGCTCCTGCTGGTCCTCTCCAGGTTCTGACCCCTCTGAGCCCAAACCAGAGTATTGAAGTGACTCTTCCTCTCAATACTGTTGGACCTGTTATGAAGATGGAGCCCCTCAACAACCTGCAGGTAACACCTTCACAATATATTTCTTTGAAAGTTTATTTGACCCAACTTGGTTTTTGCTGTGAAATATTATTTATTTATTTTTAAATATTTTATGGAGCTTTTGTGCACTTACTGACTGTGATGCTTGCAATTCAGTAAAATAATTACCTCGTGTCAGTCAAAACCAGAGGCACRTCGGTGTAATCTGTACATCAGGTGATTTAGAATTGTTACAATATTCGTATCCCATGAAGCAGCCTGTTTCTGCTGAGACAGTGTCTCTGATAATTTGGCCAATTAATTACCGGGAAGTCATCCTCACTCTTACTCAACCATGCTGTTGAATTCCCATGCTGAAAATATACCGGGATTAAAACATGAAACAGACATCAGAGCTGTTTCACTAAGGCTGTACGAAGGAAAAAAATGAAGAAAAAAATCAGCAGCAGAAGCCTGTTTGGTTTTCATCAGGGAGGCTCCTTTTAACTGAATACCGAACGGTTTGTCTATGCAGCTGGGGAGAGAAGATAAGAATGGGGGGGTGATGGAGATAGGAATGGTCATTATTGGTCTCACAACGCCCGGTGCTTTGTTTCTTCTGGCCTCAACAGCCCTGCTAACCTTTCTACTCTCTGACCTCAGAGTCCTGCTTTGATGGAACCAGCTGTCAGTTTTGACAGTTTTTCCAAATACAACTTACTCTGCAGATTTTTTATTTATGAAAATCTGTCTCTTTATGTGAATTTTCTTTTAATTACAMATGTATAGGTTCAGATGAACTTATCAGTTCACTACAACAGCTTCTCCATTTGTCACAAATCAGCAGATTTCAGGGACATTCTTCAGTAAAGTTGTGTGCTAGAAATGGACTTTGATATAAAAAAAAATGATCTAGCACAGAGATTGTCAAAAAATTAATTTGTATTTTATCCACAAATCAAGACATGTAGCTTTTGCCTTGTAAATTATCATTTATAATCATTCCATTCCATNTTTGTATTTTATCCACAAATCAAGACATGTAGCTTTTGCCTTGTAAATTATCATTTATAATCATTCCATTCCATATTTTATGTTTTAATAAAAATACAATTGTTTCTTAATTAAATGGTATTTTTTTGGTCAGGAATGCAACAAGAATTGTTTGYATTATTCAGGTATTTTATTGGATGTTGTCTTCATTTGGTTGTAGTTTGTTCYCTGAATTTTAGGAAATTATTAGATGGGGCCACTGCAGCTAGGCCTTATGAAATAAAACTTTGTTTGAGAACTTGACAGCACCCACTGTTGCAAAAAAGAGATCAATATTAGATGTCTTTTTTGTTTCAAGCATGGGCGTTTTTTTTTCACTTGTAAATCTTTATATTCTTTCAAGGTAAAAACAGGAAGTTAAAGTTTTAGTCACTGCCTTCATTCATTTTTTTTTTTTTTACATTTATAACAGATATCAAAGTGATTTTGTCATGTAAAATTGAAACATTCAATACCGGTACATTTATGTCCTCAGATTGTGTTCCTTGAGACCTGTCCAACTTATTTCAGATTCTTGGAAAGTAAAAATGATATCAATATCAATACGTTTTTTTATTAATGCTCCTTTCCAAAAGCATTWAAAGTGAAGCTTTGTGTGATATGTTCTGCATTGCATGAATGAATTATTCATGAATCATTCTTTTCCCTTCGTCTGGCTGAACTGCACTTCCTTATAAAGCAAACTGATCAGTATCACTGCCTGCTGCTTGTTACTACAGATGCTCCTTCTATACAACGTTCGTTGGTGTGTGCCTTGTACTGAAACCTCCAGGGCTGCAACACAACCTGCCTGAAAAGCTTAGCCTAACAAAGTCATTCTTTATTAGATTCACACTGTTAGATTCTTCTCAGTTTTCTCTATTTCAGTCCCTTATTTTTAACCAGGCCTGCTATTCTTGTCTCTCTGCATTTGTGTATTTATTTTTATCTCCCTTTGATGCATCTTGAAAAGCTGTTTTATAGATAGATGAATGATTTTATCTATTTAGTTTGTAAATTTCATGTTTTCTTTTTTCCAAAAGCTTTCTGTTTACTGTGAAACAAAGTGATGAGAGGTCACTTCTCAAATGATGATCAGTAAACATGTAAATGGAATGGATTTTTGTGTGGACCTAAAAAATAAACTCCGAGCATTTAGAGGCATTTTAGGAAGTCAAAGAAAGTGGAACTAATTAACATTCAGTACTGTTTCTTTCCCAGCAGTCTGTTCAAACTTAATATGTAGAATTGACTGTGCTAACTCCTTCGTACAAAAAGGTCAGATATCCTCGAGTCGATTTCTTCCACCGAAGCAGCATTCAGAAAAGTCTCGGCTGGATTTAATTTACTCATTGGAGCTTTGTTCAAGTAAGTCAATCTGCAGCCATTTATAAATAAAAATAAAGCTTTGCCTCATGTTTTCAGATAAGCATGAGTGGCAGCTTGTTCAGGAGTGTCCTGAGCACAATTAGGCACAGCTATAAATTGAGTTCCCAAACAGCAAATTATGCTATATATTGATTTTATTTAGTAAGAGGAAGAGAAGTAACTTCATTGCAAATTCAGATCTTAACAAATGGAGAGAAAAATCTCATTATCCCAAGGGTCACGTTATAGTGATGATGCTATTTGTAATTTATCAGAAATGTGTGTAAAATTTGTCAATGGGGAAAATGAGTCTAAATACTTTGAATGACTTCTAACACTTGTGCATTTCATGGAAAATGAAAAGATGATGTCCTGTTAAAGAAGTTGAAAATTGAAAATGTTTGTCAGAAACTTTTAGACACTGACAGACAGAATAAAGAATAAGTTATCTGTATAAAAACAACTAAAGGGTACAGTTTCTCTGAACAACAAAGTGTGTTTTTCTGAGCTCTGTCTATCTCTCAAATTGTAAATCCAACACTGAGTTCTGGTCAAAAATAAAATGGTAAAATTTATTGGAATCAGCATTATAACGTGGGTAAAATAGCTGATTGAAATGCCACCATCTGCTTTAAGTCTAAAGTAGTTTGTGTTTTTTTGTTAATTGATTCTGACCCTTTTCCAGTTTAGTCACATCAGGCATGATTTCAGCTTAATTAGCTCTACATTTAAATGTTTACGTCTGATTTAGCTGTCATAGATATCAGATAGTTTAATTTAAACTGCTCAGTGTAAACTGGTCTACAGAGGAGTAGACAGGTTAAATAAGAGCCTCCTGAAATTTTGACCTTATCCAGGACATTCATGGGAAAGTCATTAATCTTTCTTGTACTGCTTGGAAAGAGGTAGTCTTGGTGCAACAGGATTGACTTTCCTCTGTCCTCCTCTGCAGAGGTCCAGTGTTCTGGGTTCTTTACTAATAAGCAGGGTACAGAATGGGCTGCTTTATAGTGTCAGTTTTCATGTTTTTGGTGTCTTTAGTTTTGCTTACACATGTGAGACGAACAGTTCCTGACAGTAAAATAATCATCCGGTTCTGGTTCATTTTTAAAATGGAAGCAGTTGTTCTGAGATGACTTAAGTCTCCTGACATCTTTTTCAGTTGAAGTTTGTGACAACACATAATAATGGAGCCAAAAGCCAAACTGTCCTGACACTGCAAGATACAGTTTGGAATTTTAATTATTATTTTTTTACTTTGTGTAGTCTTAAATAAAGAAAAGTAGCTAGATACCAAAWCAGTCAGGATGTTTGAATCATTCATAGATAACTTATTTTTTTCTCATTCTGTTGTTTTTCCTCTCGCCCTCCCCTTCTTGGATTTAATCTCTACCGCAGGTGGCTGTTAAGAACAACATTGACGTATTTTACTTCAGCTGCCAGTACCCCATCAGCATGCTGTTTGTAGAGGACGGGAAGATGGGTGAGTGTCTCTTTGCTAAATCGCTTCATTCCAAAGCCTGGGAGCTCCGCTGACATCAGCCACGTAGAATAATGAGCCCTGACTGAAAGATTGATGCATGTGTGAGTGTTCCTGAGCGTGTGACGCATGTGGTTGTGACTGGCTGCCTGCTCCAGAACTCAGTCACATCCCATGGCAGAGCAGCTTGTACTGCAGCACCACTTTGAGCCTTTTTATCTTTTGTTTTAGTGCTGCCTGTCCGATTTGTTTGATGAAAGTGTGTCTGTATTTCTCCCTGTGGAGCTTCTTATGGGGCCAGCAGCAGGACTGCTGCCAGCGCTGTGAGCTAATGCTTCTACCACAACAAAGCACCTTGTGTCTACAGGGAAAGCAAACTACTCGCTCACTGCTTGGACTTTTTTTTTTTCACTGCACTGTGAGAAAAATCACAGTAACACAAATTGTGCTGTTATTGAGCAGTGGGTTTAAAATGTGTTCTTTCCTTTATATATCTAACAGAGAGGCAAGTTTTCCTGGCCACATGGAAAGACATTCCTAATGACAATGAGTCCCAGTTTCAGATCAAAGACTGCCATCTCAGCTCAGGTAAGGTTGAACAGAGTGCATTAGCTGAAAAACCCCTCACTGTGCAGCCGTATACTACAGCATCTTTTTACATGAAAATGAGCAGAGAGAGCTGTGTTGATCTCAGATCTAATCCCCACTGATGAAGCAAATTGTGTTTGATGAGAGTTCATCAGCTGCAGTCCATATTTATGTGTCATAATTTAGTTTTACACCAGTGTGAGAGCAGCTGAACTGGGGAAGAATTCCCAATGACGGCTTAATGAAAAGGTAGCACTGCAGATTGAATTTTTTTTTTATTAACAAAGAATGAAGATTTCACATCCTGCTGGGGTGCAACAGCAAGACGGAGGCTGAGGAGAGAAGTTAATTTTGAATTAGTGGCTATATCTGTGTTTCACAGACAGCCTGGAGTGAAAATCTTAGGGTGAGATAACGAGAAAATAAATTCTTCAGGGTCTGGTGCATTTAATGATTGTTTCGGCAAGCAGACATGGAGCATGACAGGAAGTACCGTATTTTTCGGACTATAAGCCACACCGGACTATAAGCCGCACCCGCCATTATTTTAAAAAACGCGCGAACATCAACATATAAGCCGCACCCCCCACCCCCATCAGTAAAAACAAAAACAAAACAGTACACCCAAAATTGTGGTCAAAAAAGTGAATTCAACATCACATTTATTTTTAAGAAAAAGGTTGGCAAGTTCACCGGATAATAATAATAATAATAAACTCTCGAAAAAAAAGGCGAGCGGTCTGGAATTAAAAAATTAAAAAGCAAACCTTTAGAAATTACCGGTAAAGTTCGGAGGAATACGGTTCATTTAACTGACCTTATTTTGGTAGTTTTCTTTAACCATTTCTGGTCCAACAAAAAGTCTCATTCATTGTCCTCCAACGCACTGAAACCATCGAAATCCTCCTCTTCAGTGTCGGAGTTAAACGAGCTGCGTCACACAGCGGTACCTGTTCAGTTTCTGTGTCGCTGTCCTCCCGGGCTGGCTCTGAAGCTGTGGTGTCCTCTTCACGTAGCAGTCCAGCCTTTCGGAACCCATTTGTGATGTGGACTCGTTCACTCTGCTCCACGCTGTTGGTTCAATCATTAAATGTCGGTTTTATCCCCTTTTATGAGTTTTTGGCCATTGACTATTTTTAAATCGCTGCTTCCTGGTCAACAGTGGGCTCTGGAAGGATCGCTTTTTTCTTTCTTTTTTCTTCTTTTTTTGAAGCRAGTGGTTGAAGCAAATGGAGCATAAGAGCCCCCTGGTGGCTGAAGAAAAAAATCCACGTATAAGCCGCACCGGACTATAAGCCGCATGGTTCAAAGTTCAGGAAAAAAGTCGCGGCTTACAGTCCGAAAAATACGGTAGTCAGGGACTTGATGCTGAATATGTGAACTAAAATGGAACTGATCAATTTAAACAGGAAACATTTTAATTGTTCTGTGTTACGGTTGGGTTATGTTCTTTGTACAGATGCAGCCTCCAACAAACTTCAAGGTAGCAACATCTTCACCATAGCCAAGCGCACAGTGGATGGGCAGGACATGCTGTATCAGTCCATGAAACTCACCAATGGCATCTGGGTGCTGGCTGAGCTCAGGCTGCAGGCAGGAAACCCAAATTACACAGTGAGTATTGAACAGTGTCGTTCAGGCTAATTAATGATGTACTTGTTCATGTTGCATAATAAATAATACCATCCTTCCTCTGTATGAATTTTAGCCAAAGTCTAATTTTCTTACCCATACCCTGGTTTGACTTAAATAAAAATAATAATAAACTTGTAAAACAGTGAATACAAAATACTATGCATGAAAAAAAATATATAATTGGGCTAAGAAGGGAACAAAGTTTTAAAAAGAAACATTAGCAAATAAAATTACTGAGAAAATAATCAGCTGGTAAGAATTTATTCACCTTCAAGGTGAATTGTATCACAGCACCTTACTACTGTTTGGCATATCAACATATTCTAGGTGTGTTTCAGATGACTTTACACTTTTTCTACTCATAAGAAATCTATTTTGGCAGGAAAATTAAAATTAAAAATGTTCTGAAAAGGTCATTTTCAAGCCAATAAATTGAYAATGAATAACGGCAATTCCTTTAAGTTACTGGTCTTGTGGGGGTGGAGGGATGTTGATGTRTCAGCTTTGTTTTCCTTGACTGCAGTGAATTAATAATGTCCAAACACCTACACACATTTATTAATTTATTACAAGCCATGCCCTTCATGAGGGCWGGGTGCCCCTTTGAACAATGCTAAGGAAAACGCTGGATAACCAGGCCAAGTACTTTTAGTTTTTAGGTCTTCACCGGTAGTTTAGAGATGTATTTCTTCAAATGTTTTTTTGCTCTCAAAAACTGTTTACATGTGTTACTAAAGCCCTCACTCAACTCCAATCACTGTGGAACACGTAAATCTCCAAGAAATCTCCCTGCTTGCCTACAGGCTGTGCATATTCATTTGCAGATATCTTTTTGTAGAGATTAAAGGTGGATGTAACTAAATGAGTCATGGTTGTATTGCTGAGACTTAATATTGCTTATGTAAAACCTTGGGTAATTTATGATGAGTGTAATTAAAGATCTCTGAAAGKAGTGGAAAAGCACATTTTCATATATTTAATGTGTGAGATCTGTTTAAGGTAATAAGTATCAAAGACTGTATTGGACTGCAAACTATTTCCCTTAATATATTTAATCCTTAAGGTGGTATCTCACTAGGATGTTTCTTCCTGACAAACTATTCATAAGGGAATTTCCAGCATGTCTGATAACTTTCTTTGGTTCTCAGTTTCCTTTTGTGAGTCACAGAAGCATGAAATCCTGTTGTTTGACTTCTAAACTTGTTCAAAACTCAAAATATCTGAACGGTTGTGGTTTATCTCCAGCCTGTCTTGAGCACTAAAGCCATATTTTGACACCTGCGCAAAAGCTCCTCCCCGACAGAAAACACCTCCTAGTTTAAACACTGGTTCAAACATGCCTGTTTTCATTGGGAAATGGTACTTCAGCAGATAAGATTATAACTGGAGTGACTGCCAAGGTGGGTACTAAACAAGCTGAAGTGTGAATAGTGTGTGCGGTGGTGGACCAGCACGTGAAAATAAGCCCTGATTTTCAAAAACTGACAGCTGTAAGTGCGACCACACAGCTCACTGGTCATTCTGTTGTAAATGGCCTACTTGCTGACAGTTCTGTGTTACCAACAGACGCAGCCCAGCGAGGTACCACCGTTAATGGTCTTGGTTATAAACGCTGTGAAAGAAAAGTAACCTCAGTGTTCCACTCACCGCACATCAGTTCTACAGTTCTGCTCACTGGACAAAGTCAGTTTGATTCAGTGAACATGTTCCGCGGTCACTGCACATTACGGATCAAGTCAGCTGACACTCCTGTTATCTGACCGAACAAGCAGGCGGGCCGAAGCTTGATGTGCAGTGACTGGTGGTGAACTTGCAGCAATTGGCAGTGTGGGATTGTGTGTCCCACTTGTATTTGTCTGCTCATTGTTGCGTGTCTCTGCATCGTCAGCGTGTCACAGTCACGGTCGCTGATGAATTGATTTCGAAGTAGAGATCCAGCTCGAGTCATCTGGAGCAGCGACCTTGGTGCGACTCTCCTCTCCTCGTTTCTCCGTCTGCTTTCACATCATGTTTTATTCATAAGGTGGCATTAACTGTCTTTTTGTTTACTGCTCTCAGGCCCAGTCAATTTATCAGTCACCCAAAACGTGTTCATAAAAAAATCCTAAAATCTTTCATCTGGTTCACACCTTCCTCAGTTTATCATCACATTGCCTAACCTGATAAAAGAGAAATATGGYTTGTGTTGCAAGTGTCTTGAGTGATTGTGGATTCTTTGTTGAGCTGGAAGAAATTTTCATTTTTCATCTTTTGATTTCCCAGTGCATCCAATTGTGCCTGTCTTTAATGATTCAGGAGGTTGTTCTTGTCCTTCAGCTGTTTCTGTAATGTTCTCCGTCTGTCTTTTTTTATTTCATTTTTTAGTCCAATTTGCTCCTCGGTGTGGCAGAAAGGGCATGCTTACATTTTTCAGATGGGTCGCAAATTGAACGGCTAATAGAGAAGTAGCCTTTCTCTGCTGCGGCGTTGTACTCTGATGCTGGTTCCTCTGAGCTGCTGCCTGCTGCACGGTCCCAGTGCTCTATTGGCACAGAACATTAAAGCCAAGCTGCCTTTTGTCGTCTTCTATTTTTAGTCCTGAAGAAGTATAGCGCTGCTGCTGCATTGTTTTATTTTTTTATTATTATTATTTCAGGGTTTCATGACACTTGAGAAAAACAAGGCACCAGAGGAGGGTTGTTAATCATTTTCTTGAAAGGAAAAGCTGGCACGTCATAATTTATTCCTGCTGCTGTCCTCCCATGCAGTTTTAAGACATGAACGTATCTTGGCCTATTTTTACGCTCGTCTCAAAACTTGATTGACTTCAAGTTTCCCATAATGCCTCACTTCTCATGTTAAGCGTTATATCTGTGTCCCAGTTCCACCCTCCACACTGCTTTAGGTTGACTCTACGTTCTATTAATAGATAAGTCATATTGAAGTTTGCAGCATTTTTATGCTGAGTCAGCAATCAAACTATTGTTTTCATGCTCAGATTTTTCCATAGTTGTTTTGTGTCTGTTTCTCCTTCAGCATTCATTCAGCTGTTTTACCCATTTATATATCAAAATGTTCAGCTTCCTCTGGATAATTTGTCTGACTTTTGTATTTGGTAACATTTGTACTTTTTAAAATGTTTTATTCTATTTAAATGTTATTTTCAAAAAAACAACTTTTCAGATTCTTGAAAAGCATTGTGTGTTTTTTAGACCTTATCTCAGCTTGCTAGCTACATTTTTAGCTTTTACCTACTCCTTTTTTATGGCGATAGCTCTTAGCTAGGGATGCACGATATATCGGTATTGATATCGGTATTGGCCGATATTGGWMATTTTTTAGAATATCGGTATCGGTCCGATAGGTAAAGCGGGGCCGATATTAATATCAGATATAGATTTCCCACATTTTAGCTTTGTGTTTGTGTTTTGGGAGGTTAGAAGGTTGGTTGAGCGACATCTGTTTGATCGTGATGATATTGCTGCTGCGTAGCCATGAATAACTGAAGCAGGGAGCCATGTCAGAGGTCTGGTTGTTTATTTACAGTATCAAAAAAGACACAAGTGTGTTTGTGTGTATATGTATAATATAATTTGTATGTTTGTGTAATTTCGGTAAATATCGGTYATCGGCCATAACACCAATAATTATATCGGATATTGATATCGGCTGAAATTTTCATATTGGTGCGTCCCTACTTTTAGCTACTGCTCTGCTCATTTTAGCTTTTATCTTGTTAATTTTGTCTTAATTGTTCTGTAATTTATTTCTTTTAGCTACACGTATGTAGCTTGTAGTTACTGTTTTAGTAGTTTTAGCTACTTCTGTAGTTGTAGCCACTGCTTTGCTAATTTTCACTTTTTGCTACAGTTTCTGCATTCCTCATTTAGGTCTTTTTAGCTCGTTTTAGTTATGTCATGAATTTAAATGGTAAATGGACTGTACTTCTATAGTGCCTTTCTATCCAACCAGGATACTCAAATACTTTACACTACAATCTGTGCCCTCATTGACCCATTCACACAGCACTTTATTATGTCTCTACAAAGCTAACGTACAGATCAATCTATAGAGACTAATCAGTGCTTTACATCACATTCATACACTGATGGGACACATCAGAGGAAGTGAGGTTTCAGTTTCTTGCAGGGACACTTTGACATATGACTGACTAGCAAGGAATCGAACCACCACCTCTCTTGTTAGTGGACGAGTCCCTCAACCACAGATCATAATTCAACCTATTAGCTCCTGACTTGCTATTTATGTTTTGCTTATTTTTGCTGTTGAATTGATTAGTTACATCATTTTAATTTCAACAATTGAGTTTCAGCTTCTTCAACACATTTCAGCCCCGTCATTCAGGACTCATTTGTTTAGTAGGATCTGTGAATGAAGCCCACTTTAACAATGAAACGACTTTAACACAAACTAAAGGGAACTGTTGCATATTTTTAATCTCTCATTGTGCATTATCTGGGGAAAATGTTTTTTTTAAGATGTTTTCAGAGGATATTGCACGTTAAACATTCGAGTCATGTCTCTAACATTCCTACCTTTTCACACATTAACACCTTCCTTTAGCTGAAAACAGCTTTCCACTCCAGACAAAAACATCTCCATGAAGGTGATGAGAGCAAACCAGAAGTGTAAAGTCACAGCTCCGACTGAGGAAAATAAAGTCCCTGCCAGCTTTTTCACTGCAGTCCACCTCTTGTTTGTCACTTTGATCTCATCTTGTTTTTTAATGTCTTGCTGTTACATAAAGATCAGTTTTAGCCACTGCCTATGTATATATTTTTCTATCTTAGAGCTTCTATAAAAACTGCATTTAGTGGAACATTTGGATGCTGCTCATCTTCTTGATATGAAGCTGGGGTGTTCTCATCTGCCATCTCTTGTCCCCATGGCAACAATGTGACCAGTAATGATGCTTGGTGGTGGTGGTTTTATTTTTTTCAACCCACCTCTTTAACTGGTTTTTCACTGTTTTCATTAAACTCAGAAATAGACACTACAAAGCTTCTTTCCACACAAAATACCTGTGTCATTCCTTCAGAACATTTGTGTTTTTCTACAATCTTTTGTCTCCCACTCAAATGTTTTTCAGCATTTCTTTCTCTTGGTTAGTTTTATTTTTTTACAGTTAGATGTTAAAAACATTTGGAAACAACATTTTTTTCTGTATTTCTATTTAAGATTGGGCTGTATATTACAGAAAATGTTACATCTACCAAGCTTCATCACTGAAGATTTGATACACATTGAGCAGTCTGTAAAAATTAGATATTTTCAAATCAGAAACTCTTGAAAAAGATTTTTTAGGAACACTAATGACTCCATTTAAAATTAGATGCTGCTGTGTACAGCATTAGGTAATTCTGCAGATGGGGGTATGCATTTAATTTTCTGGAAAATGCTTGTATATGCTTTAAACAATTACTGCATCATTTAATCAAACTTCATTTGCTCTTAAGTCTTTGGTTTAACTTCTCACAATGCTGCAGTCAACATGATTTAAATATAAAAATGTTTAACAAAGACTGTAGTGCTAATTTTGTCATTATTTCCTGCAAAGAAAACAAAAAAATCAGTCAAGTCTTGTAAATTTAGTAACAACACATTGAGAACAAAATCGTAAAAACTCTTCGATGCTCAGCCTTTAATTCCTGAAAATGTTCCTACAAATTTGGAGGAACTCCATTAATATTAAACACAAACACCTCCTCTCTTCTGCCTTCGTATTTCCTCGCCCGCGTACTCCGATGTGGTATTATCAACAAGCCTGAAGCTGAGCTCACGAGTGCTGCCGCTAGCGGCTCTCTCAGGAGGTGTTTGTGCTCAGTGGCTGAAGCGTCTGCACTTCTTCACGTCGTGCTGCTGCACAGCTGTCTAAACGCTGTAAAGAGGGCTGAATGTACCAGCACCGAGCGGGTGGCGTACAACCACTTTATGCAACCACAACTCTATGGTAACCAGCGCACCACGCTCCTTCACATCATTAACTTTCAGGTGAATAACTGATCACTGTAATTAAGAGAACGGAGCAAACATTATAGTGTATTAGTGTCGATGATACAGGAACAAACAACAGACATTTGAGAGCTTAAAACAAAATGACTGCGCACACACCGCCTTGTAATTAGGATGATGGAGGATTACTGAATGTTATACAAAGACAAATCCCGTCGGCACAATACCACTTATAGAGGAAAAAACCTGCCTGATAAATAAAATGGAAAAGATGAAAAAAATAAAAAGCTCTACTTCATCTAAATGAGCTGCACTCTTTCTTGTAAACACCACACACACACACACACACACACACACACACACACACACACACACACACATATCTCTATGTTGGCGTAACAAATGTTGTGACAGTGATTAAAGCAGCGTGATGTTCTGTGGGTGCATGTGAATGTGTTTCACTGTCAGGCCAGCAGAAAGGGTAGGTTGGTCCTTTTTTTTCTCCTCCCTGAGACGTACGGGTCGTCACTGCTCCTGGTTCTCACAGGGAAGAGCACAGCTGGGTTTCACGCTACAAAATTTAATTATTTGTTCCTTAAATCTTCCCCGTTGTCCTCCTTTTGTTTTTATAAAGTGATTTTTTTTTTTTGCAACATTCTAATAGAATCTGAACTGATGCAACTGTTCCTGAGCTGCAGCTGCCTGGATTTTCCTGTAAACACAGTGCTTCTGGGATGGGAGGAAAATAATATCTGCAGTGTGACTGGGGGGGGGG